AAAACAAGAAAAAACTAATTTTCTAACATTTAGAAAATTAGTTTTTTCTTGTTTTCCGAAAACACAAAAAATGACTTAGGCACTTATGCTATGAAGCTAACGATATGCTCCTTTCTCAAGGCACAAAATAGAGAGAGGAGAATCTTTAAAACAAGCAAACTGGTTTCCTAATGCTTACTGGTATTTGCATCAATAATAATAATCTGTCTACACCTGTGTTTAAAATACAGCTTTGCAACTTTTTAAAATTACCTGTAAAACTAACTACACCTATGAGCACTATTTAACTTTCTCTGTTTAGCAAATCTGCCCAGTGAAAAATATTAGCTCATATTAGCAAAAGGCTGGAAAAGTAGGTGGTAATTTAAAAAAGTTAATTAGATTGGAGTAATAAAACTTATTAGTTCATCTGTTACATGATTGGGTATAAAAAGAACATTTTATAGTGGCACAGTTTCTCAGAAGAAAAAATAGGCAAATGTTCATCAATCTGCAACCAGAACCCAAAACGGTATCTACAAACTGCTGAACAATTTTAGGACAATGGTCCTAAACATAAAAGTTTGAAGACTGAATATCTCTTCGATATCATCTACATTGCATAATGTCAAAGAATTCAGAGAATCTGGAGAAATCTCTGTGTGCAATCTGTGTGAAATCACTGGCCCTGTGGCAGCACTGCATTAAATACAGGCATAGAAATCACTGCACAAGCTGAGGAACAGTTCCAGAAATCATTTTCTGTGAACACAGTTTGCTGTGCCATACACAAATGCAGATTAAAGCTTCAACAGGATCCTCAAACACCACCATCATCTCTGAGATCTGGACTGAGACAAAGTGGAGAACTGGTCTGTGTACAGACAAATCTCTTTGGAAAACATGGAAAGAAGAGAGGGACCATTCTGCATCTTTGATGGTACGGGATGCATCATTTTCTATTGAATTGGCAGCTGGCACAACTGGAATGGCCCAAAAATGCAGAAATGTATATATAGGTTTTAGAACAACATGTGCTCCCACCAGGGTGGGAAGGCCTATAATATTTCAGCAAGACAATTCTAAACTACATCTAATAAGTTCTCTGTGTTCTATTGTGAATAAATTATGGGTTTATGAGCTTTGCAAATTATCGTGCAAATGTGGAAAATTAAATTTAACTGAATTTACATTTCTGGCAATGTGCAAATTGGTCAGGATAATAAGCACTGTAAAGGTGGAATTGCAACACGTTGTATGTGTGCAAAAACATTGATCTTACTGTAAACTACATGTATTTGTGGACATTTTTAGCTGTGTGTTTCTCTTTGTAGGATTTTAGTGGCAGTAAATCCCCAAAACAAAACATACACAAAAATAAGTTATTCCAAATTTAGTGAGTTGGTTAAGCAGGAGCATGTCAGCCACAGGCATCCATAGCCACACAATGTTGACAAATGGGCGCATATTTGATATTCTGATCTATTTTGTTCTGTTAAAAAAAAAGGCATATCTTTAACAGGCAGTATTTACGTAGACATGTTTCTTTTTACAATATTCTGATTTTTTTAAAGTGTTGCTTTGACCTGAATGATAACTTTAACATCCAAACAGGCTTAGAATCCTAACATGTTGATGTTTTGAAGGTTTTTCCATCCATGTTAGCATGCTAACATTTTTTGTACTAAGCACAAAATTCAACTATTGATCAAAAATAATATAAATAAGAAAAATGCGCTGTGGTTTGTACATGGTTGCTTTTGCACTGCCTACAAACATCCAGTGTAGACAGAGGAGCCTGCATATAAAATTGAATTGCATAAAACAATGCCTGGTGAATACCTTTGTTTCAGGTTTATGATCAAAAAGCTTGATGCCTAAAATTCTTCATGAGTGAGCTGAACGTACTAGTGTTGCAAATAGTTATTGAAATGTCAAAGATTTGTCTTAATTGCTGCTACAGCAACCTGTTTGAAGAGAGCTTTCCCATTATCAGACTTGTTTCTTCACCTGCTGCTGCTTCTGGCCCTTTCCGAAGCCACCCACTGAAAGTGAAACATTGAAACATGAAAGAGTCTCACCTCCCTGGAATAAAAACAAGGAGATGGATCTTTAATTAAAGGTGAGCGCTTATACTATTCAGAACGAGGAGGTTCTTGCTGAATGTGGACAGTAGGTAAGGGGAATGCTGCACGGGGGGTTGTTGGGCATGTATCTCAGCAGTGTCTCCCTCCCTCTGAGTCCCAGCACTCCCTCCTTGCAGATTCCAGCGTTAAGTTAATTGGACAGGGAGAGGAGAGGGCTGAGGAGGGAAGCGTTCAGCCCCATTAGCAATCCCCCTGTGGAAGGCTGAGCCGAGAGGATCACAGACTCACAAATAGGAGGATTAAAATAATCAATAGGCTTCACTCTCTCTCCCTCAGCACAGGCAGCCCTGTGTACAACGCTCACACACACAAGCACGCACCATTACAAAGATATGCACACACACGCACACGCTCCTGAGCAAATACAAACACACCAAGAGTCTGAGGAATACTAGTTCAAGGAGCGCTACTCTGCCCAGTGGTGTCTGTGGACTTTCACAAATTAGTCTGGGTCAGGCAACATTCACGCACATGCACACACACACACACACACACCTATTCTTTGTTAATGAAGGTTAATTCAGCCTCTGACTAAACGAGGACCAGTTTAAAGGTCAGGAACATGAAAACAGTCTGACATATCTATATTTTGCTCAGTTATTTCTGAGCTTTAATGGCTGCTGAATTTGCTCCCACATAAAAGACTTTTGTATACATACACACACACACACACATATCTATATATATACATACACAAAAGTCATATATACATATATATATACACACACACACACACACACACACACACACACATATATATATATATATATATA